GGCGGTGGTGGTGTACAACCAGGAGCGCTACGGGAACGCCACCGAGCCCATGTCGCACGCGGGTGAGCAGGCCGGGCGCGCGGCCGCCCTCCGGGGCAGGGGCGAGCCTGGTGGTTTCCCGGGTGGTGTGTGGAGAGGGAAGTGCGTGCACACACTGGGTTGGAGCCTCCCCTCCGGGGTGGGGGGTGGGTGAGAAGGCCGGGAAACGTCCTCGGCAGGGGACGTAGTAAAGAAACTCTGCAGGAGGAAGGTCCTACCGATTGCAAAAGGTCTCCGGATTCCTAATCCCGGGGTCGCTTTAGGTCGCTTCACCGTTTCCCAAAGTTGGTTGAGTGGTGAGTGTGTGGGCGTGGAGGGAGATTTCTTCCCCCAGCGCACTCCAGGGTTGCATTGTCTCTTCCACAACCTAAAGTGATGACTTGGTGGCTCTCTCTGGTTTCTTCACTTGGACGAGGCGTATCTGAATATTTGTAAACCCCAATCGGAAAACCTGGGCTTGCTTGCTGTGTGTAGCAAGCACGACAGAGGCTTGTCTCTCACGACACATGGATGGCAATCACACTCGCCCATTGTATTGAGTTCAGATGAAATCTTTTTTGCTGCATTCATTGAAGAAAAGACCTTGCTGTCTTTCAGGAGGCCGGTCCTAAACACACTATTCCAGGGCCAGCAGGTTGCACTTCAGACAAGGATGAGTTAGCAAAATACCATCCTTGGGACAGAGTTCTCTCCGGGGGACCCAGAATTTGATCCTATTTCTGTCGTGCCTTCTAAGATCACATTAAGGCATCACACAGTTGACTCATTCTGAATTTCCTTTGATTACCTTTTTTGTTTCTGCTGCTACTAAGTCAGACATCCTTTTCCTGTACTGCATTTTTTGTTGTTGTTCTGTTTTGGTTGAATGCAACACAGAATTTATAAAGTAAAAAGGACATTGGATTTGGCCATTTTTGTAGGAGGTTGGGAATGGTGGCCATTTGATGGCAAGGACGTGACCTCTGGGAGGTTGACTCCAGGATAGCAGAGAAATGGTTTCAAACTGTAGGAGCATAGTAGGGTGGAGTAGGAGATGGTAAGGAGACTTTGAAATTGCTTGAAAGTAGTCTGCCTGAATGGAGAAATGCTTGAAGAAGTTGGGTCTTTGTGAACACAAGGATTGGGTGGCTGCAGGCAGTGGTGTGTGAGAATGAGTACAGATGGATGTCCCTGTGGTCCTGTTGGGTCAGGCACTGTTTTTGGTGTAGTTAATCCAGTGATTACAAATTGGCCTAAATGTCATTGTACACACTTCCTGTTTCCAGCATTACAGATGTAGCCCATCTACAGTGTTCCCAAGTTCAGTTCTGTCAATGAAAAGAGGTTGGTGTGCTCGACCTGAGTCCCTGATGTTGGGTGTGTGCATCTCTGAATGCATACACATTTTAATGTAGACTTTTTCTTTTAAATGACAGGCTCATCACCCTACAATTTTCTAACTCTACCCCACTGCATTTTTTGATAATGACATTAACATCCTCCCAAGCCGACGACACTTGTTCAACACAACCATGGCTCAGCAATCTTTCTTGTTTATATTGTTGACATATAATTTATCTGGATCCAGAAAAACACCTCAGTGATGTTAATTAGAATCTTTGGTGGAGGGATACTTCTGTTCCCATTATCTTCTGGGGCTGGACAGTGGTGGCACACACCATTGTGAGTTCGAGGCCAGCCTGGGCTACAGAGTGAGTTCCGGGACACCTGGGTCTACACAGAGAAACCCTGTCTCAAAAAAACAAAACCAAAAAGAAGAAGAAGATGGGAGAAGCCAGCTTTGACAGACTACTTAAACTTGAACTGAATATTTAGAGCCACTGAGGCTACTTAGACTTAGGTTGCTTTCCTCTGTTTAGTCAGAATGTAACTGAAGCCAGGAAAATCCACCAGTTTAACTGTTCTCAGTGCTGATGTGTAACACTGGATTTCTATGAAACAGGTAGAGTTGTGCTTCTGAAACTGTATACTGATAATCTTCTTAAATTGTGGGAAGAATTTCTCCCCAGTTCTTCTGAAACCTATTTTTTAATCTCACTAGAATCGAGCACTAGGTAACTTTAAAAATGTAAATCATTACTGAAACTTAAGAATTTTGGAAGAATCATCACTTTAAGATCATACTCTCAGAACAGCAGTTAAGGACTCACAGTTATGCCTAATGTTCTGTTTTTAGCAGACTTAAGTTTAGCAACTGCTTTGGACCAAGTATTGTACCTGCTTGGAGTTGGAAATACCAAAGATGAATCCTTGCCTGTGAAGGGTTTATGGTCTGTCAGTAGTGATAAACATAACTTTCCAGGCCAGAAGAGTTTTAACCTTAACTGAATTACATGCACAGGTGCTTAGAAAGCCTAAAGGATGGGTGTTGATGCTGAAAGCTGTAGAAATTATCTTGACCAAGATAGGTAAAAATTAGATAAATCCTTATCATTAAAGTCTTAGTGTTGACCTTACAGTAGTTATTGTAGGTTAATAAGTAACAGACTCCTCTAGCTGAAATTTAGGCACGGCCTTTTCTTTTAAGAATGACATTTTACATTCTTGAATGTTATTTACGAAGTGCCAAATAGTTGGCAAAGGGCTGGAGGAAGGGCTTGAATTGCAATAAAGCAAGGAGGATTTTAGAGATGGAGAAGAAACACCCAACTTAACCAGCCAATTAATCTGTTTCCCTGAACATTTCTGCAGGCATTTAGAAAAAGCTTACAATGGCGATAACTGCATTAGAAACCTCAAAGACAGCTCAAGTCTTTTAAGATTCCTGAAAATGGCCACAATATTGTAATGATGGGACCAATGAGACTTAATTAAAATTTCACTGTGACTAGTTCTAAGAACCTAGCCTGGGGGGGGGGCAACTTTAGAGAAGCCATATATTAAGAGGTATTCATTTTGTATTGGCAGTGCATGTTAAATGGTCTTTTATGCATAGTCAGTTATTGATTACCTGTAATACTGTGCTCTCAACTGATCTACAACTTTAATTTGAATTTAAAATGTGTCTTGGTGCTCTAAGGAGCCATAAGTGATGCCCTAACAGCCTCATAGAGAAGGGGGTCAACTAGAAAGTTCTGCAGAAAGATTGACTTGATGGAGAGGTTCAGGACATTAGGTCTGAAATGAACTAACATGGAAAGGCTGCAAAAGAGTTCCCAGTAAGAGTGTTCAGTAGTGTTTTTAACAAAACCATTTTCGGGAGAGGGGGGTAGTGGTGGTGAAGTTTTTATTGTTTCGTGTTTGTATGTTTCCTTGTGATGGGGGTCTTGCTAAGTAACTCATCCAGTCTTTAACTCATGATCTTATTATCTTAGCCTCCCAAGTGCTGGGGTTATGGGCATGAATCATCATACTGGCCCAAAGTTGTTTTTTTTTTTTTTTTTTTTTTTTTTTTTTTTTTTTTTTTGAGTATTTTGTCTGCACACATGGAAGTGTACCACATGCATGGCTGGTGCCTCTGAAGGCCAGATAAGGGCACTGGAACTGGAGTTATGGTGGTTTTTAAGTCACCATGGATGTCCTGGGAATCGCCAGGTCCTCTGCTAAAGAGCAGCAAGTTCTCTTAACCACTGAGCCATCTGTCTCTCCAGGTTTCCCTGCACCCCAATATTTTTGACTAAACCAAATCATACAAAAATATTTATAATTATATAGTCCCCAATGTCTTTCTCATTCACCCTAGCCAACCATTTAAACATTTGTATAACAAGATTTAGTGCAAACTCAGCTTAAGCTCCACAGCAGAAAAAGACATTCCAGATTATTCCCTCTACTGTATTTCTCCTTACTAGGTTATTTCAGTTGTAGTCCTGGAAGATAAGCTAGTTTTTCAAATCCACTTATTCATGAAGAAATGCTCCATGCCACAAAAACCTGATGAATTGAACAGGTAGTACTTGTCTAATCTAATGTGGAGCGACCTATGAGGAATTAGACTGTGTGAAAGAAGGCCTGTCTGAAGCTGGAGAGATGGCTGCATAGTTAAGAGTGAGTATTGCTTTTGCAGAGTCCCCCATTTCAGTTCTCAGCACCAATGTTAGATGACTCACAGTGCCTGACTCTTTCTGGTCCCCTTGGGCACCTCACTTGCATGCATGTTTGTGTGCACAGGACACAATTAAATAACATTGATAACAGTGACTACTGGTAGAGCAGGAGTTACTGTAGAGCGTAAGCTGAGCTTGTACTAAATCTTGGTTTTGTTGGGGATTCTCCGGGGAATAGAATGGCTGGAATGTGGCAGTTTAGGAGATTCTGTTACTGGAACCTCAATATCAATTATTGCTGCTAAGTTAGCTTTCTCAACCAGAAATTCAATCTACTACTTTAAATATTTCAGTAGTTCTTATCTCCTTCAAGACAGTAATGAAGTGGACTGTAGTTTCCTTGGGTGGAGAACAGATACATTACATTCATAAGTCTTGATACTAAATTTTGAAGTTATTGTCTAAGTGTTAATCCTTTACAACTGTGTTTGTTTAGTTTCTGACACGGAAACAAGAGGAACACAAAAATTTGAAAAGGAAATGGAAACCATTTTATTTCTGGCATAGGAACACTTGAAATTCTGTTACTGGTAATTTTGCCTTCTAAAAATACTGTTCTGTATCTGTTACTCAACAAGGTTTATGATGAGACTGTATACAATGACATTGTGCTCAGTGTAAGACAAAAATAAAACAGAAACTGCCCTTAGGGAGCTGTCTGCCTAATGGTAAGGTGTAGAGATTACTTGTGGTGAGATTGTGCAAGATGACCTTTTTTAGTCAGTCGAGAATGATAGCAACACTAAGCCCTGGGGAAAAAAAGAATTCCAAAGGCTTATTTCTTGTTTCAAGTCTCTGTGCCTCCTGTGAAGAAATTCACCTGTTTAGCTGAGATTTTTCTCTCTGTGCCAACACAGGCACAGTTGTACAAAATTACTTGAACAGATTCTTTTGGATTAGACCCCAGTGGTTTGACAGGAAAAAGTCTGGGGGATTGTCGTAGTTGTGTAGTTGTGTTCGGCATCCCTTAACTTGTG